CGTCGTCTGCGTTTCCACGAGCTTTCTGCTCCTCGCACCGCCTGCTGTCGCCCCTGCCCTGGGCGTGCGCCTGCCCCAGCTTCCCAGACTGCCCTTCCTCGGCAGCTAGTGCCCCTTCCCGAAGCCCTCGTGTCCTGGAGAGGTGCCTGCCAGCCCCTATGCCCGGGGCGGGGGGCAAACCCCGGTGCTTTATAGGTGCGTTTGTCCCAGTCCGAACAGGCAGTCCACCTTGTAACTTAACACCACCATACACACGCATATGCATGTCTAAAGAGGAGTACCTGGCTTTCCATCTTCTTTTCACCATTACACATAGCTTTGATTTTTTCCCACAGTTGTTATAAAGGACAATTTTGGAGGGGGGGGATTAGAGTGGTAGAGGGCAGATACAATACCTTCCTACCTTCCCATGCTAACCATCATCACTATACTTATGGCTGTACAAAAAGAAAAAGCACCCTGCTTAAGTGAACCTCCAGCACTGGCCTAGGTAGGTCTTGTGTGCTTTCTCCTAAGGATGAACAGTGCTAAAATCTCCTATCTTCTCTGTTACCCCAACTCTTAGGAAGCGACTTTTCCCCTTAAGCACTTAAGTATATTTTTGGCAGCATATTACTACATGAATCTGAATTGAGTGTGAATCTGGAATGTGTAAGTTGATGCTCTAGTAAGAATTGGATCAAATTTCAAGCCCCTTATTTATAAAGCAGACTGGGAATTTGTCAATCCCAAAAGCAAAACTTTTAATGAATTGCATAATACTGTGCTCCCTGTGGTACTATTAAAAAAAAAACAAAAAAAAAAAAAAACAAAAAACAAACCAGCAAAACTCAAAACAAACTCCTTTTTTCATGCTGTATTATGCTACAGATAGCTGTTGTCTCCTTGACATCTTTTTTTGTACAGGTATTTCAAACAGTGGTTAAGTTTAACACACTGAATTTGGGCTCTTGACACTTGGATAGCAGTGGAAGAAGGGAGATGATACAGCTAATCTAGATATTGCCTCTTGGGCAGAGACAGATGCTGCTTGAAATTATCGGAGAATTTTGAACACCTTGCTTCTAAAGCAGCAGCAATCATGCTGTCATGTATCAAGAGGTTTTACACAATGGTTAATACCTTTTTGAGTATCTTAATATGTAAATCAATAGAGAAACATACTTACATTTTAATTAATTAGGTTTTAAATTTAGTATTCTCTTGAGATGAGTGCTTGTTGGAGATAGTGCAGGGAAATCTGGGGAAGGTTGTTTATTTGCAAGGTTTTAATTGCATCTGATAATGGCTATGAAGTTAATATTATTTTTAATGAGAACTTAGGTTCTGGGGCACACTCATATGTCAGTTAACAGAATCTGAAGAAATAATTGCTGTGATGGGCATATTCTTTAAGCTTATGCTAACAGAGGTCCACATGGTTTCTTTATTGCTCTAGGGAAGAACCTGGAATCACATGCAGCAGGTCTTACACATTATTATATTGCATAAGAAAACTTTTCCTTCTTTAGTATGTTAATAGATTACAGACTGAACTGGTCTGCCAATATCCCCTAAGTCTTTTCGTTTGTGGACGTGATAATGGCTCTTTTACCGAGAACTCGTGCGTTCCCATCAACAGTCCCCTCCTGTATCAGTCTGCTATTTTGGGAGGCAAACGGCCAAAGCCTCTTCCTCTAAAATTCTCAGATGTCCAAAATAGCACCAGAAAATATTTTCATTTATTGTTCTCATGACTGCATCATCTTTATCTGTAGTTGTTGTGGGGGTTTTTGTGAGTTTTTGTTTGGTTGAGTTTTTTTTTTAAGCAAAGTTTATGCCCTTGTCACTTACCCTAAACTAAAAGCATATCCAGTTGGAATTTGGGGATTCAAATAGTTACCGTATACAGGCTCTCAAAGAGATTGCCCTTCATTTATAGAGTGTTTTGAAAGTATGCCCAGGGAGCAAAAACTTCTGAACTTTTATAGCATCATAAGGTTTTTGACAGAAATAAGAAATACTTATTGCCTTGATATTATGGTGTCTCACTGGAGTTGTAGTTCATATGCCTCATGACCCTGTCTTGAATGTTGCTGTGAGCTCAGTCTGTAAAAGAGAATGAGACTATGAGTTGGTTGAAATACAGTTTCCATGATATAACAGCATTTTAGTCGGAATATTTTGGGATCGAGTCAAAAGATTGGGCTTGACAGTGTTTAAGGTGGTTTTTTTTGTTGTGGTATTTTAACAAGTATGCAGCTCCTTGAGGAAAACTATGTGCCCTCCACCCCCAAGTCTTTTGCCAACCATCTCCTTCCCCCCCAATTTTGAGAGCAAGCACTCTTGAAAAATTTATTACCAGCCAAAATAGAAAACAAAAATAGATGTCCATATGCATCCTCTACTTGTTTCTTTTCTAGGTATGTACTTCAGTTGCAGACACCGAACTGTCTTGTACTGTACAGACATGTCTAGAAAAATATCTGAATTGTTTTCATATTTTATCATATAAGTTTTTGTAGCCTGTTGAAACGGAGCATTCTTTTAGGTTTCAGTAATTAAAGGAATTGTTGCATGTGTTTGGTAGTTGTATTTGGTATATCAAATCTTATTTTGCCTTAAATGTGTTTTAAAACTCAGCCTTTATAATTAAAACAATTTAATTACTGTCATTACTTTCGTTATTGTCATCTTGCAAAGTAAATCTTAGTCATAAAGTTTCTGTGCTGGTAAAGGAAAATTCTCCCTGGTTTTGCTATGTTTCAGTTTTGTATTTGTGTGTGCTTGCTCTGTTTAGAAGCTGCAGAGATACATAGTTTTGTACAACAAAGGTGAAAACTGTATAGTTTTGTGATAAAAGTAATGAAGACTTGCTTTCAGTATGCTTTTAGATTTTTCAGATGATCGCTAAAGATTTTGTTTGCTCTTTAAATGGCAAAGGCATAGGGATAAGGGAGAGGCTGGTCCAAAGGTCGGAGTAATAGCCTAGGACTTGGACTTAAATTGGCAGTTTCTGTCTCCTGCCATAGATTTTGCGTGTATTGTTGGGCAAATCACCTTTGTGCTCTAGCTGTAAATTGCATTTAATAGTACTATTCGAGTTTGTAGGAGTGTTGTGAGGATAGAGATACTGAAGCAATTGACAAAATATAGAGGTGTAGGAAACTATTTTGTTCTGCATCTCCTGTACTTGGCTGACATCTTGCTTCCCGCTACTTGGTAGGTGGTGCTCTAACTTTTACTGTATGGACTCTTGCTCAGTAGCATGGGAGAAGAGGAAGGACTACATCAAACACAATTACTGGTATGTCATTTTTTGCTTCTTAAATGAAACCGTAATCTAGTATTTTGTGCAATCTCAGGAACAGGGTGACAAAGAACTGTTTTTATGATGTAAGATACTAATTGGAAGTAAGCGTTACAGAAAAAAGTCCAGCGAATGCTGTGAAAGGTTTACCTTTAAGAATCCATAAACATTTTTTCCTCTGCTTCTACACACTCAAGTGTGTGTGATGTATTGAGGTTTTCAAGTTTTCTGCTGCATTCTGTTCTTCTGTTGGTGTGCCTTAGAATAGTAGATGTAGGAAAACCAGGTTAACATTCAATTGAAGTTTTCATTATTCTTCACAAGAATATAAGTTGAAATAAAAGAAGATTCAAACTCTGCACAGTGTTTAATGTTTGATGACATAATCATACATGGTTGATTAGTAGTCCCAAAAGATGTCTCTAGAGGTCAAGTTTCACATGGGGTGTGTGTGTTTAGAAATTACTGTATGTACAACTTTGTAGGAAAAATTAAAAGGGATATCCTCCGATAGGAAGTTGCAGGAAAAGGCACTATCAAGCAAAAACTTGGGTTGTATTTAATTGGAATAATGCAAATATGTTGGGTTACAGGAGAAAATTTTAAAAGAAACTTCCAAAGCATTTAATATATTGGTAATCCATGGATAGCTTTTAAAAAGTCTATGAAAAATGACCATAAGACCAATTTCATATACTCTATATTGTAGTTTCTGTATATTATGATTTCTAAAGAGTTTTGTACCTTTAGTGGAAAGAAATCTTTAAGAGTCGGCAAATCCAAAAAAGGGTTATTTCGTGGATATATACAGCAATGTAAGAAGTGTTGTGCAGAGTCAGACCAAATGTTTATCTAGCTACTGTGCCATCCCCAGGTTTTCAGAGTAGATAAGTATGTAATGTATTTTGAAAGGAACAATGTTGTGTTGAACTTTAGTGGATTTTTAGTGACTCTGAAAAAGCTGAGAGTGCTCTCTGAAAATATGTGGAACATACTGTAGCATCCAGAAAAGCAAGGCAGAGGTTAGGGCTTACCGAGGGAAATGGAAAATGATACAGAAAGACACTGCAATAGTATTTTGGTTTTACCAGCTTTTATTTGAAAAACTTTGTGTTGTTTGGGTCACTACATTTAAAAAAAATCCCCAAATATTGGGCAAACAGGAATTCTAAGGACAGGAGACTTAGAAGGGACGTAACAAAGGTGCATAAATGTAAAGATCAGGTACTAACTTTCATTTGCAGCCTAATTTTTGTAAGACTAAAAGAAGTGACATCTACTGCATTTAAAAAAAAAAGTAGTTACTTTGTATTTCAAGAGATCATCTGCAATATTTGCATGGGGCACTCTTGTCAAAATTAGTGCAATTCAGAAGAAAATCTGGAGGCTAGTGCTTGAAAGTCATACCTTGGAAAATTCAGCAAGTGATTTTTAGATGTAAATAATGAGAAACCTGGATGCACCCTGCTCATTTTTAGCTGGTGAACCTAAACTAGGAATACAGGAATTTTGCTTTCTTACGGTCAACTGGAAAGAAGCACAGAAGCCCATACAGAGGATGACTGTGCCTATTCTTATTGGACTTGCACAATTCATATTGGAATTACACAGTCCAGTTACTCACCTGAGTAAGGGAACCAGAAGGACTGCTTCAGGCACCTCAGTTGAATGTCTCAAGTTATATGGAACAAATCTAGATCTTACTCTCCCTGTAGCCAAAATAAGCTAACCTTTTCAAGTTCATGCTGCCCATGGTATTTTTTTCATGTCACTCTCTTAGGCATGTTGATGTTCTGGAGGGGCCAAATCTTTTAAAGATGGTGTGCCAGGTTGTATTTTTATTTCCAAAATTGGAGGCTAAGCATGCCGGTAGAAACTCAGGAGGAGCGAGGAGAAACTGCCTCTCCAATAGGTGAAATACAGCCGTTGAGATGTTTGCTTCTGTGTGAAGCAGCAGCTCCTGAGTTCCATCAAGTGTGGAGCTTAATGGGAGCCAGGAGCTGGGAGCCCCTGCCTCTCTCCGATGCCATGACTTGTGGACCTGCTCACCCCTGGTTCCCGAGTGCCGTCTTTGGGACCCAGTCCATGTGTTCCTGATCCCTGTTGTACCACACTGGCCATTCTATAACCTGGTATGAAAATTCTGATGTTTCTATCTTAAAAGAATTTGCTGTTTAAATTTAAGATTAAAGTTTTCTGGTTTGTTTTTTAGTCTTTTTTTCCCTCCCTCTTGAGCTGTTTACATTGTACAAGAATTTTTTTTTTTTTTTTTTTTTTTAACAGGACACAATGTTTGTGCGAGGATTAAAGAGAAAATGTTTTGATGGCGAAGAAGATATTGAAGGAACTCTGGCTGGTATTAAGGCTATTCCTTCATATAATCTTCAGCGGCAGTCACTTTTAGATATGTCCTTGGTTAAACTTCAGCTGTGTCACATGCTGGTTGAACCTAACCTTTGTCGTTCGGTACTTATAGCCAACACGGTACGGCAGATCCAAGAGGAAATGACTCAAGATGGGACTTGGCAGATGATAAACACACAGAGTACAGGGCAGGCATCCCTGGATCGTCTTGTTTCAACAGATATCCTCTGTCGTTCATCTAGGGAACAAGCTGAGGGAAAGCATGTTCCAGGCTATAGTACTTTCAATAAAGACTTTGAGGGTGACCAGGCACAAGATAGTTCAGAAACTATGTCAACAGCCTCTTCAGTGCAAGCTCCGAGAAACCTGCAGAGCAATGTGTGGGAAATGGAGAATCCACAAGAAAATAAAGGAAACTTTCAAAAATCATTAGATCAAATATTTGAGACACTGGAGAATAAAAGTCCCAATTCTGTTGAAGATCTGTTTTCAGAAGTTGACAATTCTTACTATGATCTTGATACTATGTTAACAGGCATGATGAGCAACACAAAAATGGGACACTGTGATGGGCTTGAAACGTTTTCTTCTCCAACAACTACAACTTCTAATTCTAATTGTAAATCTGATCTTAATGAGCTTGATCATATTGTGGAAATCCTTGTTGAATCCTGAAACTCCTTGTGTAGGAGATAAAGATCTGTTAATGGGAAAGACTCAAGAAAGCTATTTCCACAGTTTGTTCTATCAAATCTGCACAAATATCTATATATTATATAGATATATATTAAAAAAGCACTTCATATTGCAAAATAGTGTTAACTCTTAAAGTTAACCTGCAACTTGTAGTGTAATAATCTGATTCATTGTCCATTGAACTGTAAGTACATATGGTAAATGTTTTTAAGTTTGGGGTCCAAGGCTCTTGAAATTGGGTTCCTTTTACCAATTTGTTTTAGCGTTTGATGGGAAGATGTGCTCAGTGAGAGGGAGTCTCTCATCTTTTTCTTATACTTCTCCCAGTAAAAATGGTAATAAACATAGAAGTTTTCTATTTTCCTCCAGTTTCCACTGTTACACCACGTAACTGCTACCATATCTGCTGCTTCTGTTCTAAGTCGCTACATGGCTCTTAAAGAGCAGTATGCAATAGTTCCTGTTATCCTAGCTAGCTTATTCTGTTTTTTGCTACAATTTTTACTTCAAAAATAGTTTTAAAGTGTTTATTGGTGTTTAGATTTTTCCAGGTATTTTCCTAAAATATATTTTTACTACAGATGTTATGTCAGCTGCTAACTTAGTAACTTTTGATTATATCTGCAGTTGATGTATTTTTTTGAAAGATTTTCAAAAAGGGATGTTTTTTTACCTTGAGCTACTCCGTGTAGTTCAGTAAAGTGTATGTAAATGTAAATATACGATTTTATACTTTACATTAAAATGTAAAAGCTGTTTTCATCCTGTTTTATAGAGTAGTACTTTACTAAATTGAGAATTGTACAATTATACTTTTCATACCCCGTATACTTGAGTATCATTAGAGGAAGAGCTTTGATCCAGCTAGATACAATTACATTTAATTCATTTCAGACCATATTTTTTGTTAACTACAAACCTAAATTACGTAGGTTTTTATTTATGTGTATTTATATGTAAATGTCATCAAGTGAATTGTTTATCACTGAAGTCTACCATCAAATATTTGTTTATATGGGATAACTATCTTGCACTAATTACTACAAAAAGTGTTATTAGCGGCCTTTAAATCTCAACTGGTATGTCATGCTGTCTTGTCATAATTAATATGCTCCACTCTTACCAAGGGTTTCCTCTTGGCTTTTTTTAATAACAAAAGATAATACAACATGGGATGGTGTTCTTTTCTTCAAGTACTCACATTCGTTTTAGAGTGTATATAATTAAGCTATGAGACTTTTTTTGGGGGAAAGGGATAGATCAAGTACAGTGTATGATTTTTTGTTACAAAATGACAAATGTTTACCTTCACAAGCTGGTACTGGGGAAGAGCTCCAAACTGGCAGGGAGGTAGAGAAGGGAGAAAAGATTGGTTGGTGTCTGGAATGTGTTAGCATTGGTTGGGAAGACACTAGCTAGGGAAGACATCCGCCAGTAACTCAGTTGTTTTCTGTAGACCTGAACCAAGCGAGTCGCTGAACATGAGGAGAGTACATTTCTGCATCTGACAGACTGCCTTCACACAGGTGACCTTACCTACTATGCACAGTCCTTTTCAGATTCTCAAACCCCTAAAAAGGGGAGGGTGAGGGCAGGGGGTTGTTAAGGACATTCCAGTGTCACCTCCACAAAAGGAGACCACTGAGCGTATGATTTCAACAAGTGCTTTAGAAACATCTGGTTTGGGGAAAAATGACATCACTTTGCTAAATTTTTCAAATTCAGTAGTTGAACACGTATTAACTCAGTCACATGAAACCATGCAGTTGGTGTGACTCTTCAGTGAATTTGAAAATGGTTTTTGTATTAAATTTGGACATGAGATAATCCATAGTTACTGTAGTAGTTAAATATTGCTTCCTCAGTTAAAGTTTGATTAATAACTTTGTATTAAATTATGAATTACCATACAGATATTTGCAAGTTCAGTCCATGTAATACAGCTGGACCAAAGAAACAAGACAATACTACATGTCTTAATCAATAGAGACATCACTCATAACTGAAAGGTGTTGCAGTAGTATATCCTGCTTCAGGGGGACACAAATATTGATGTGACCTGTCATATCTCACAGTGACATAACAGTCTGTTTTATTTGGCAGTGTTTGTTGCAGTATCAGAGATTCTTCCTTCAACATTATAAATCCGCAGAAAATTTTTCTTGATGCTTTTCTGTGTGTGAACAGATCCACTGAATTGGGCAGCAGATGCCTTAGGGTAAAGCAGAAAGCCAGGCAGTTTCAAAGTTTTATGAAGGGAACATTAGCATTGAGTTGAATAACTAAATATCTTCTGTCTCTCTGGCAAAGTTCCCCAAAACTGCTATGAACTGTGGTTCAAAACCCACAGGTTTGAACAACTGTGGGTGTTCCCCTCTTCCCCCCCTCACCCTCCATTTTTATTAAATGAGCAATTGCATGTTAAGATACTTAAAAATATGCTCTCCCCTCCCTCCTTAGTGTGCATCAGTTTCCATGTTACAGGTAGGAATTAGTATAATTTGTTCATAACTTTGAAACTGTATGTCAAATGCGTGTGCGTGTGTGTATATGTGTAACTATATCTCACTGTACCAGGCATCTAGCTGGGTGCATTCCTTTACCAAGGAAGCTATGTCTAGTGAGAGCAATTAGTAGAGACTATTTAGCTTAACAGGAAAGGTATTAAGTAAGTATGCATTTATGTAGTTAAGCATTTAAACAGAAATATATATCCTGTTTTATTACGTTCTTAAAACTTATGCCAAATCTTATGTGCTTTTACATGCCTGATATCTTCAGCAGGTATAAGAATTTGTATTGCTGAAACTTGCACAGTCACTGTATAGAACTGGTCTGACTTTTGCAAGGACCAGTCAGTGTAAAATCAGCTTGTCTCCCTACTGCTTTATTGGTGTGTCTCAGTCTAATTCAGCTGTTCGTTCTCGGTAGCTTCACTTCTCCTGTTAAAAAAAAAAAAAAAAAAAAAAAGGAGCTTTATTTTCTAACTCGCATTGTCATTTCTTTGCTAGTCCAAAGAGGTCTTAGTTAAATATGCATCATTTAAAGGTTAATACAGTATATTTCCCCTCTGTGTATTCCTCTAAGATACTGAGAGACATCAGAAAAAATAGGGTGCCTGTAAGACGGTGAATTTTAAATTACTTATTTTGTGAACTGTTACTACAAATGGCAAGAGATTATACTTGCTGATGGTGATTTTCTTAATTTCTACATATAAATGGGAAATAATTTAACCTTTGTTAAATTAGGAAAGGCTTCTGTAAGATTTTGCTACCACTTCTAGCAGCCTTTTTTCTTTTATGTGCTCTTAGGGGAAAAGAGTCATGAAACTTGCACGGTAGTCAATGTTGTGTCTGAAGCAAGGCTGTTCGTCTGAATGACATAACCCAGCTTTAGACTTGCACAAAAAGAAGTACTTTGAAGCAAATAGCTAACATCAAACCTGCTTCCTTCTCAGGTAACCTCGAATGTCTGTTCCTTTCTGCCTCTGTGCCTGTGGTTTTATTTCTCCTTCTCCCTGGCCAGAAAATCCAGAACACCTGGAGCTTCTGGAGCTCGGGCATTCAGCAAGGGCAAGAAGTGTGAGGATCCAGGCTGCATTAACAATGCTTGTGTGCGTGAAAGCTTGTCTACTTATGGCTTCCCTGTTTGTTTGGTGTGGGGTTTTTTTTTAATCCCCTCTCTCTTCCGCAGCTCTGAGTTTATCTAGCAAAAGATGTTGCCTGTCTCTATGAATGTAGCCATATTTGCCTAAAGGACAACTCTGGTAAATGAAGAGGGAATAATTTCTTTGAATGAAAAGGACCTTTCCAGACTGCCTCAGAGGTGCAGCAGTAAGGGGTTTCAGCCTTCAGCAAGTTAGGAATTCACATGCAGGTCTTCACATTCACCAGGAATTACCTGTTTTCAAAGCTGTCCTTAGACTGTTTGTGAACTCTCAGGTATGTCTGGGCTGCTTTAATAGGCATTTCAAACAGCATTATTGTAAATTGACTGGTAGTATAGTTTTATATTGTAATTATCAGACCATTATGGATGTCTTGTGCCTCAGAATATTGATTTGAGTGTATGGCTGCTTTACAGTTCTGCAACTTATTCCATATTCCCATATAAGTAAACAAACTGTCAAAAGCAAAGGATGAAAAAAATCCATTTATTTGCTGACATATAGGATAAGACAAATAAAAATGCTTTCAAAAGTGACTTCTGTTCAAAATGAAAGTACGTTTATGTCTCAGGCCTAGATTTATAGTCCCTTATGCAAAAAAACCCCATGACTGATCATGACAAATTTTGATTACTCATCAACTCTTAAATGAGTGTGATTTCACACTATGTGACTAATACTAAAAACACCAAGTTCCGAAGAAATGAAATCTACATCTTAGGAAAATACGTATTTTTGTCAATTTGGCTTGTTCAACTATAAGCTTTCACGAGGATTGTCTAAACTCCTTTTGGTATCTCTTGCAAAGTTGGCAGTTAAGATAAATTTTCCTATTTTTTCAAGGAAGAACCACAAAGAAATGAAATCCCGCTGAATAATTCAAGTTGTCAGGAAAGAGATTTACTTCAGATGTCTGTAGTGACTTGACTCTTTCTTTTTAAAGCCATTGAAAAATACTAAAATTTCATTACCTGACACGATTTTCATAAGTTTGTATGGTAGCTTTTTTTTTAAAACAATTACTTCTTTGCTTAACCAAGATTATCCCAAAACGAGTGTTTTATGACCTGAAGAATTACTGTGGTAAATGTTAATGCACAACCAACATGTCAACAGGAAAATATAAAGCTAGAGGCAACTTTCCATTGCAGGGAAAACATTCAGTGATTTCAACTGTCATCTTTTTAGGGAAGAATAATTGAAGATACAGGTGATTACATGACTTCTTGCAAAAACAGAATTAAAAAGAAATTGTATCCACATGTCTGCTGTGTTTGGAAGTCTCCTAGGAGCATGTGGGAAGTGGCAAGTACGTACTGCAGTAGTAAAATGCTACAACAGAGGAACAGTATATCGTATTTTTTGTGTGCCAATTACAGAGAAGTTTTGGAGATCAAGAAAATGTAATGTAACTTCAACCTTGGGTTGTGCAAGCTTCCAAAACAGGACTTCTAAAGGGAAGAACAGGTATGTTGCTAAAAAAAAACCACCAAAAGACGTTAATACTTAAAGGAGAAAAACAGTACTTATAACAAATTCACTTTTCTGTGTTTGAGATCATTACTGAGAGAAACGCTAGATATGGAAAGTACTGGGTGTTGGGATTTTTTTTTGTCCAGTGAGCTGACTGATGTTTAAGATAAAATTGTTGAATGGTTATTTGTTTTAATTGAAGCCCAGTAACGTGGTTTGCTTTTGTGTCTCTGCTTTGTTTGAAAAGTATAGGGAGAAAGCACTTTTTCGTGTAAATTGTGATTCTTTTGACAAAATAGAATAATGGCTTTTTTAGTACTCTGATAAATATTCAATAATTTTGGGTTTTTTTGTTTGGTTGTTGTTTTTTTAAATTACCATTTTGAGTCATGGCTTTTTTTTTTTTAAAACTTGAGTAAGTGTAGGATTAGTTAGTAGTTCGCAGAGGCTTTACCACCAAAAAGAGGTGGTAAAACTAACCAGGCTTTAGTGCAGTAGGCACTACCCTTTCTCCCTTTCCTATGGAGACATGGCATACATGATCATTCTGTCATTCAGCTTCAGAATAGCTAATTAATTTCAACCAAATCTGGCAGATCTCACAGTCAATACATTTTTAGAATTTTTTTTTTTTAAAGTGTGGAGGTGAAAGAGAGATCAGAAGAAAGTGGAAGTAGCAGACTCCAGTAATCCTTTCAGATGAGATATAGAGACCCTGATTGGTTTGGAGGTTGGGGTTTTCCCTGGTTCATGTGAAATTTGCTGCAAAAGCAAAAATGCTGCTCATGAGAATGGTATCCCGGCCTGCTGCGGTGAGTATAGTTATACTGAAAGACCGTGTTTAAATCATCAAAAAAATCGTATTTTTAAGTCCTCTGTTTCCCTTGAGGTTAGTTTAAGGCAAAATGGGAGACCATTAAAGACTCCTAGAACATGGCCTCATTTGAGAAAGTAAGGGCCTTTTTTAAAGACAGTTTTTGTCAAGAAAGACCTTACATGCGAGCTCAGACCTCTGAATTCTTAAG